ATGCTGAATACCCTGGTGGCAGCCTGGCCTTTACCTATTGATGACATTAGCAGTGCTGACCAACAGGAACTTTACTTAAATGAGCTACCACTTTTGAAAATCTAAGTAGGAGACATTCTGGTTTCTTCCTAGTCTTCCAGAAACAAACCTCGGAGGACTGGCTGACTTGATCTTCTGGGGACTGACTTAAATGATCTCTGCAAACATGATAGGCACCAAATCACAGTTATATCTACCTTCTTTGATAGATTCTAGCACTGTAGCTTTACTTTTAAAATAACTTTAGATTTAAATGCAAATTTTTAAAAATTTAAGTTAAATTTAGATTAAATATTTTAAATTTTAGTTTAAATGTTTTTTCTTTATAGCATTTACCCCATGCAAAACATATTCTTATGAATGAATTGTCTGGTATGAGCTTCTTACATCAGCATGACCTTTTTGCCTAAGCACATTATTCTTGTTACACTGATTTTAACAACAGCTATTATTATAAGTTAGGAAGAAAATAAGTTGTTTTCCCCATGCTAACTTTTTATTTATTTATTTATTTATTTATTTATTTATTTTTATTATTATTATTATTATTTTGAGACGGAGTCTCACTCTGTTGCCCAGGCCGGAGTGCAGTGGCCGGATCTCAGCTCACTACAAGCTCCGCCTCCCGGGTTTCCGCCATTCTCCTGCCTCAGCCTCCCGAGTAGCTGGGATTATAGGCGCCTGCAACCACACCCAGCTTATTTTTTATATCTTTAGTAGAGAGGGGGTTTCACCACTTTAGCCAGGCTGGTCTCAAACTCCTGACCTCATGATCTGCCCACCTCGGCCTCCCAAAGTACTGGGATTACAGGCCTGAGCCACTGCACCCAGCCATATCTACTTGCTTTTAAAATGTGATCTGTGCATGAGCCAGGGACACCGGGATTGCAGTGAGCCGAAATCATGCCACTGCGCTCCAGCCTGGATGACAGAGTGAGACTCTGTCTCAAATAAATAAAATAAAATAAAATTTAAAAATAAAGTAGATCTGTAATTTCTAACTTTTTTTTTTTTTTTCTTGAGATGGAGTTTCTCTCTTGTAGCTCAGGCTGAAGTGCAATGGTGTGATCTCGGCTCACCAGAACCTCCACCTCCTAGGTTCAAGCTATTCCCCTGCCTCAGCCTCCCAAGTAGCTGGGATTCCAGGTATGTGCCACCATGCCCAGCTAATTTTGTATTTTTAGTAGAGATGGGGTTTCTCCATGTTGGTCAGGCTGGTCTTAAACTCCCCACCTCGGGTGATCCACCTGCCTCGGCCTCCCAAAGTGTTGGGATTACAGGCATGAGCCACCATGCCCTGCCTGTAACTCTTTTTTTTCTTTTTGAGACGGAGACTCACTCTTGTCACCCAGGCTGGAGTGCAGTGGCACGATCTCAGCTCACTGCAAGCTCCGCCTCCCAGGTTCACGTCATTCTCCTGACTCAGCCTCCGGAGTAGCTGGGACTACAGGTGCCCGTGACCACTCCCGGCTAATTTTTTGTATTTTTAGTAGAGACGGGGTTTCACTGTGTTAGCCAGGACAGTCTTGATCTCCTGACCTCGTGATCCACCCGCCTTGGCCTCCCAAAGTGCTGGGATTACAGGCGTGAGCCACTGCGCCCGGCCTGCCTCTAACTCTTGTTACTGTTATTATTTACATTTCTAACCCTGAAATGCTTGCTTCCCCCTGACGACCACAAGTTCAAGGCTACCAACAGAGATCCATCAAAGTGAAGTGATTGATTTTGAGAGTTCTTAGCGGCAGCTGTGAGACAACAGGTGAACTTGAAAAAGAGTTATTGCACTAACAGTGTAAATAAAATTGGAACTAAAACTAAAATGGATTTCCATGTGAGAACAAATATTGATGATGATGATGATGATGATGATGATGATGATTGTGAGACAGAGTTTCCCTCTGTTGCCCAGGCTGGAGTGCAGTGAGTAGCACAATCTTGGCTCACTTCAACCTCTGCCTCCTGGATCCAAGCAAGCACATTTGGTTAATTTTTTAATTTTAGTAGAGACAGGGTTTCACCATGTTGGCCGGGCTGGTCTCAAACTCCTGACCTCAAGTGATCCAGACACCTCAGCCTCCTAAAGTGCTGGAATTACAGGTATCAGTCACCATGCCCAGCCTATTATTTCTTTTTAATACAATTTTTTTCCTTTTGAGACCAAGTCTCACTCTGTCACTCAGGCTAGAATGCAGTAGCGCAATCTTGGCTCACTGCAACCTCTGCCTCCCAAGTTCAAGCGATTCTCCTCCCTCAGCCTCCCTAGTAGCTGGGACTTCCTAGTAGCAGGTGCCTCCCTAGTAGTAGGCACCTGTCACCACGACCAGCTAATTTTTGTGGTTTTTTAGTGGAGTCTGGGTTTCACCATATTGAGCAGGCTGGTCTCGAACTCCTGACCTCCAGTGATCCTCCTGTTTCAGCCTCCCAAAGTGCTGCGATTACAGGCGTGAGTCACCATGCCCAGCCACAAATACTGATTATTTAAGTTTACACATAGGATAGTTAGCTTCTTAGGGTAACTTCCCTGTGCTTTTACTTCCCATTCTAACGGTAAAAGACCGTTAGGATTTCGTTTTCTTGGGGCTTCCAAAAAACATTGCTTGGGAAGGGAGGTGCATCCCTCCAACACCCCCGCTTTCCCTACCCTCCCCCTCCAGACTCCGCCACTCCTTAATCCCATCAAGGAAGTGATAAGATTTTTTCTTCAACTATTTTCTCTAATTATTTTGGAATAATTTAGATTTACAGAAAAATTGCAAAGAGAGTTCAGAGAGTTCCCATTAAACACTCACACAGGATAAGATTTATGTTTAGAAATAATCCTAAGGACTTTGTTATGTGTAACCGTCAATCACAGCATCCTAATATAATCTTGATTAATTGGTTGTTTTCCTGATCGTGCTAGGCAAGATTCCTCCTTACTTTATTTGTGTCTATGTTATCATTTCCTAACCTCACTGAATCTCTGGACAAAGCTCTTTAGGGGATGATAATGCTCTCTCCACCTTCCATTTGAAGTCCTAGGAATTCTGGCATATTTTGGCATAGGCCTACATGCTGAATACCCTGGTGGCAGCCTGGCCTTTACCTATTGATGACATTAGCAGTGCTGACCAACAGGAACTTTACTTAAATGAGCTACCACTTTTGAAAATCTAAGTAGGAGACATTCTGGTTTCTTCCTAGTCTTCCAGAAACAAACCTCGGAGGACTGGCTGACTTGATCTTCTGGGGACTGACTTAAATGATCTCTGCAAACATGATAGGCACCAAATCACAGTTATATCTACCTTCTTTGATAGATTCTAGCACTGTAGCTTTACTTTTAAAATAACTTTAGATTTAAATGCAAATTTTTAAAAATTTAAGTTAAATTTAGATTAAATATTTTAAATTTTAGTTTAAATGTTTTTTCTTTATAGCATTTACCCCATGCAAAACATATTCTTATGAATGAATTGTCTGGTATGAGCTTCTTACATCAGCATGACCTTTTTGCCTAAGCACATTATTCTTGTTACACTGATTTTAACAACAGCTATTATTATAAGTTAGGAAGAAAATAAGTTGTTTTCCCCATGCTAACTTTTTATTTATTTATTTATTTATTTATTTTTATTATTATTATTATTATTTTGAGACGGAGTCTCACTCTGTTGCCCAGGCCGGAGTGCAGTGGCCGGATCTCAGCTCACTACAAGCTCCGCCTCCCGGGTTTCCGCCATTCTCCTGCCTCAGCCTCCCGAGTAGCTGGGACCACAGGCGCCCGCCACCTCGCCTGGCTAGTTTTTTGTATTTTTTAGTAGAGGCAGGGTTTCACCGTGTTAGCCAGGATGGTCTGGATCTCCTGACCTTGTGATCCACCCGTCTCGGCCTCCCAAAGTGCTTGGATTACAGATTTGAGCCACCGCGCCCGGCCTAACTCTTTATTTTTTAAATGGAGGAGAGTGGACTAGATAATCTGAGAGGTAGAGGAGGAAAAGAATTTGCTTTGGAGGCCAGGCATGGTGGCTCATGCCTGTAGTTCCAGCACTTTGGAAGGCTGAGATGGGAGAATCTCTTGAGGCCAGGAGTTTAAGACAAGCCTGGTCAATATAGCAAGACCCCATCTCTCTCTCTTTTTTTAAATTTATTTAAAAAAAAAAAAAAAAAAGGGAATTTGCTTTGGAGCCAGGCAGTCACTTGTGGGTTGCTACCTTAAGCAAGTTTCTTAATTTCTCAAAGCCTCTGTTTTCTTATCTGTGAAATGGTTATGATACCTATCTCATTGAATAGTTGTAAGGACTAAATAATTTATAATACAGTGACTTGCAGCAAATGGGAGTTGTCTCCTTAATTAATAAATGCATTATAGTTTCATGTACATTTATCTTGTCTTTCCCACTGAAATGAAAGCTCCTCAAATATAGTGTAGCTCTTTTTTTTTTTTTTTTTTTTTTGAAACAGAGTCTCGCCCTGTCACCCTGTCTGGTGTGCAATGGTGCGATCTTGGCTCACTGGAACCTCCACCTCCTGGTTCAAGCGATTCTCCTACCTCAGTCTCCCAAGTAGCTAGAATTACAGGTGCCTGCCACCACGCCCGGCTAATTTTTTTGTATTTTTCATAGAGATGGGGTTAGGCTGGTCTCTAATTCCTGACCTCAGGTGATCCATCCATCTTGGCCTCCCAAAGTGCTAGGATTACAGGTGTGAGCCACCGAACCCGGCCAGTGTGGTTATTTTGTAGCCCCTGGGAACTCAGGACAGCATTGAACAGGGAGTAAATTCCAAGTGGATATATTATTGCACTGCTGTTTTTTCAAGTTAACAACTGGTTTGAATTTTAATGAATGTTACCCCTGAGCTAATATTGACTAGCCAAAACTCTCACAGTTGCAACATGGCCACACAAATTGAGTAATGTTTTAGCTTTAAAAAAGTAAATAAATAATAAAAACCCTAGCTATTTCATTAGGTCCTTACAAAACTACTTTTCATGGACTGGAATAGTTTAACACTGATGAAGGCCTAAGTTAAGTTACTGAGAAGGACAAACTATGAATGGATTTGGGAAGTACAGAGAATGAGATAATGCCTCACATGTGACCAGCAGGTGAGTAACTTCAAAAAGAGCTTTGGAAAAGAATAATTAACAAGGCTGTTAATTAAGTTACAGTTTGTATTCTTTTTTTTTTTTTTTTTTTTGAGACGGAGTCTCATTCTGTCACCCAGACTGGAGTGCAGTGGCGCAATCTTGGCTCACCGCAAACTCCGCCTCCCGGATTCACTTCATTCTCCTGCCTCAGCCTCCCCAGTAGCGGGGATTACAGGCGCCCGCCACCATGCCCAGCTCATTTTTTGTATTTTTAGTAGAGACAGGGTTTCACAGTGTTAGCCAGGAGGGTCTCCATCTCCTGACCTCATGATCCGCCCTCCTCGGCCTCCCAAAGTGCTGGGATTACGGGTGTGAGCCACCGCGCCGGGCCAGTTCTATCTTAAAAAATAATAACTTGCTAGCATAAGATCTTTTTTTTTTTATCAGTACTTTCACTGTTCAGACATGAGTAGGACTTGACACTCTAACGCAATGTTGAAGTGTTCACAACTTGTGAAATTCAGGGGGCCTAAATAAGCTATCAAGACCTCTGTAAAAACAAACATATTAATAAAGAGCAGAAGGTCTGGGCTCGGTAGCTCACGCCTGTAATCCCAGCACTCTGGGAGAACAAGGCGTGTGGAGCACTTGATGTGAGGAGTTTGAGACCAGCCTGGCCAACATGCTGAAACCCCATCTCTACTAAAAATACAAAATTAGCCAGACGTCGTGGCATGCCCCTGTAATCCCAGCTACTTCAGGAGGCTGAGGGACGAGAATCACTCGAACCTGGGAGGCGGAGGTTGCTGTGAGCCGGGATAGCGCCACTGCACTCCAGCCTGGGTGACAGCGCAAGCATCTGTCTCAAAAAAAAAAATTCAAATATTTAAAAACTCTCTGATAGAGGAGCATCTACCAGTGACTATGGGGAGTGGGAAGGGAGAGATTTTTTTGTTTTGTTCTGTTTTGTTTTATTTTTAATTTCCATGCCACCTTGTCTAAGAGAGAGCTGTTAGTTAATGGGTATAAAGTTTTTGTCAGGGATGATAAAAAAAATTTTAGGTATAGATAGTGATAATTACACAACATTGTGGATATAGTTTAGCCAATGAATTGTACACTTGTGCGTGGTTCAAATGATGGACATTATGTTATGTATCTTATCGAGATAAACCTTGCCACCTCCCAGGAGAAAAAAGTTATCAGGCTGGGCGTGGTAGCTCACACCTGTAACCCCATCACTTTGGGAGACAGGTAGATCACTTGAGGTCAGGCATTCAAGACCAGCCTGGCCAACATGGTGAAACCCCCCTCCTACTGCAAATACAAAAATATTAGCTACTCGGGAGGCTCAGGCAGGATAATCACTTGAACCCATAAGGCAGAGGTTGCAGTGAGCCGAGATAATGCCACTGCCCTCCAGCCTGGGTGACAGAGCAAGACTTTGTCTCAAAAAGAAAAAAAAGTTATCTTTGGGTTATTTCAAAAGTTTGATGATTTTCTACAAGGAATGTACCTGCCCCTGCACTTTGTTTACAGTATAGAAGGAAGAAAAAATATTTGACCTCTTCAAGCTCAATATTTAGGGTTATTTTTATTCTGTCTTGAAAATCAATTTCTCTTCAATTCTCGAACTCAATTTTCACAACCACAAACCACAAAACAAAACAATTAGTATCAGGACAAAAACACACAACAAAACCAAAAAAAAAAAAAAAAAAAGAACCCCACAATACATCAGGAACTAGGAGAAATGGAGTAGTGGTGAGAGGAATATGAATGCTATTTTCCTCTTTCTACAGGATTCTAAGAATTTCTTTTCCATCACTTTTGATTCAAAAGAGGCTGTTTCAGCTTTCAGGTCCGAAAACTGGTAATGTGATTTCAAACGATATTGTCTTTTTTTTTTTTTTTTTTTTTGAGATGGGGCTCTCACTCTGTCACCCAAGCTGGAGTGCAGTGGCATGATCTTGGTTCACTGCAACTTCCGCCTCCTGGGCTCAGGCAATCCTCCCACCTCAGCTTCCTGAGTAGCTGGTACTACAGGTGTGTGTCACCACATCCGGCTAATTTTTTGGGGTATTTTTAGTAGAGCACAGGGTTTTACCATGTTGCCCAGGCTGGTTTCGAGCTCTTGAGCTCAAGTAATCCCCCCACCTTGGCCCTTCAAAGTGCTAGGATTACAGACATGAGCCACCGCACCAGGCCACATGTAGTCATCATATGTCATTAAAACATAACTGGAGGCCCAGTGAGTTGAATTAAATTTTGTGCATATGTGTGGACAGTATGCTTTTATGCACATATAAACACATGGTAACTTAATGACCTGAAGGACTTCTAGAAAAGAATTTGATTTATTTATTTATTTGAGACAGAGTCTTTCTCAGTCACCCAGGCTGGAGTGCAATGGTGCGATTTTGGCTCACTGCAACCTCTGCCTCCCAGGCTCAAGCAATTCTCCTGCTTCAGCCTCCCAAGCAGCTGGGATTACAGGCATCCACCACCATGCCTGGCTAATTTTTGTAGTTTTAGTAGAAATGGGGTTTTACCATGTTGGCCAGACTGATCTTGAACTCCTGACCCCATGATCCACCCACCTCAGCCTCCCAAAGTGCTGGGACTACAGGCGTGAGCCACCTCTCCCAGCCGAGAATTTGGTATTTTAACAGTATCCTGCCAAAGGAAATAAAATGATTTGGGAAGAGGGATGAGTAGTTGAGACACTTTCATCTTTAAAAAATAAACTTACTGAGGTAAAATTTACATATCATGAAATGCACTCATTTTTTTTTTTTCTTGAGACAGTGTCTTGCTCTGTTGCCCAGGCTGGAGTGCAGTGGTGCAATCAAAGCTTACTGCAGTGTCGACATCCCAGGCGCAAGTGATCCTCCCACCTCAGCCTCCCAAGTAGATGGGACTACAGTGTGCCACCACACCCAGCTAATTTTTTTTTTTTTTTTTTTTGCAGGGGTGATGTATCACTATATTGCCCTATGCTCAAACAAGCCTTTTCCCTTGACCCCTTCAAAGTGTTGGGATTACAGGTGTGAACCATTGAGCCTGGCCTTCATTGACTGATTGATTTTTTTTTTTTTTTTTTTTTTAAAGACTCCTGGCTGGTCACGGTGGCTCACACCTGTAATCCTAGCACTCTGGAGGCCAAGATGGGTGGATCACTTGAGGTCAGGAGTTCGAGACCAGCCTGGCCAACATGATGAAACCCCGTCTCTACTAAAAATACAAAAATTAGCTTGGTGTGGTGGCTTGCACCTGTAATCCCATCTACTTGGGAGGCTGAGGCAGGAGAATCGCTTGAACCTGGGAGGCAGAGACTGCAGTGGGCCAAGATCGCACCATTGCACTCTAGCCTGGGCAAAAAGAGCAAAACTCCATCTCGAGAAAAAAAAAAAAGACTCCTGACTTCAGCAAGAATAGGGATTTTGTTGTAGTCCTAATGTAGTCCTAATGAAACAAGAATAGGGATTTTGTTGTAGTCCTAATGAAACAAGAATAGGGATTTCGTTGTAGTCCTAATGAAACAAGAATAGGGATTTTGTTGAAAAGAGGTGTAGAGGTGGAGAAGGAGATGTAAGAATGTCTGCAAATTGACTCTGGAGGCTGAGGCAGGAGGACTGTTTGAGCCCAGGAGTTCAAGACCAGCCTGGGCAACACAGCAAGACCCCATCTCTACAAAAAAAAAAAAAAAGAAAGAAAAAGGAAAATAAAATAAGTCAGGTTGAGTGGTATGCATCTGTAGTCCCAGCTTGATCTCTTGAGCCTAGGAGGTCAAAGCTGCACAGATCAATGATCATGCCACTGCCCTCTAGCCTGGGCAACAGAGAGAGACCTTATCTCAAAAAAAAAGGAGAAGAAGAAGAAAGAAGAGGAGGAGGAAGGAGGAAGGAGAAGGGAGAAGAAGAGGAAGAAGAAGAGAAAAATTAGCCAGGCATGGTGGTGTGCACCTGTAGTCTCAGCCACTTGGGAGGCTGAGGTGGGAGGCTCACTTGAGCCCAGGAGGCGGAGGTTGCAGTGAGCCAAGATTACACCACTACACTCCAACCTGGGTGACAGAATGAGACCCTATCTCAAACAAAGCAAACAAAAACGACGAAGAAGATGAGAGAAGATGAGGAAAAAGAAAGGAGGAGGAGGAGGAGAAAGAAGAAAGGAGAAAGCCAGGTATGGTGGTGCATGCCTGTAGTCCCACCTTCTGGGGAAGCTGAGGCAGGAGGACTGCTTGAGCCCAGGAGTTTGAGAGCAGCCTAGTCAACATGGCAAGACCCTGTCCAAGAAGAAAAGAAAACCCTCTGTAATAGGCAGACCTCACTCTAAAAATAGCTACTTATATAACTAATTATGGAATGTCTAGTGTAAAAGAAGCCCAGGATTTATGAGAACGGTGCAAACATTTGCCTATTCTCCTTGCAGCTCTATCTTCTCCAGTCTTGGGACAATCATTCCTGTTGATTGTCTTCTAGCTTTCTAGCATTAAGGCAGCCTTCTGTAATAAAACTACTGCTTTTTTTTGTTTTGTTTTTTTGGTTTTTTTTTTTTTTGAGACAGAGTCTCACTCTGTAGCCCAGGCTGGAGTGCAATGGTGCTATTCTCAACTCACTGCAAACTCCACCTCCCGGGTTCATGCCATTCTCCTGCCTCAGCCTCCTAAGTAGCTGGGACTACAGGCGTCCCCCACCATGCCCGCCTAATTTTTTTGTAATTTTAGTAGAGACAGGGTTTCACCGTATTAGCGAGGTTGGTGTTGATCTCCTGACCTCGTGATCCGCCCACCTCAGCCTCCCAAAGTGCTGGGATCACAGGTGTCGGCCACCACGCCCAACCTCTCACACAAATCTTCAAAAAATACACAGGGTCATTTATAAATCCTAAAAAAGACAACATAGGAATAACCATAACCTAGAACAAAGCAATCACTCTTATGTTGAGATCAGTTGTTTCAATGCAGACATTTGCATTTCAATACTCTGGGCTTTAGACAGTATTACAAGGCTGTCTTG